GACTCTTATACCCATTTTACAGATGAGGGAATTGGGACTCACCGCAATTATGGTGCGAGCTTCCCACAATCACACAGTCAGGATTCTAACCCAAGACCCCTCACAGTAGGGACAACGGTGAAGAGGAAGCTGTGAGAAAGCTCGGCAAACAAAATGAGAGGTTTGGGGACACTTGGTACCAGTGATACAAGTAGCAGTTAAGGCGTGAACTGCATTTCAAGAAGATGGGACGCTGACCTGCCTGGGACTCCTGGGAGTCAGAGGGGCTTCTGGACCCTCTGGAGCTGTGTGGTTTTTTGCTTGGCTCTGGCAATGGTGGTTGTGGATCTGAGGAAAGCAGGCTGGGGTGTGGCGAATGACTGTGTCGGGGCCCGGCCTGGGTCTCTGAAGAGAGAGCGCCCCCGGCTCACACCCACCCCTCTCTGAGCTGGAGAGGAGTCTACTGTTTCATCCAGAGGCTTGGGAGGGGTGAAATCAGCCAGCCAGGACCCCTGGAGGGCCCTCTAATTTAAGAACCTTCTCTGATTCTATTATCCAGAGGACATATCTGGAGCTAAATCGGAGGAGACGGCCGGGAAGTGCATTACGGAACATTAAACAAGAGCTGACCAGCATCAGATGCAAATAAATAGCTCATCATCTACTGCTGAGAACAGGATTGGTTCCCAAGTGGTGGCCTGGCTGGCTTCCCACCGGGGGTTGCAGGGCTGGACATCAGGTCCTGCAGGCCGCATCCCAGCACCCATGGAGAAGACTCTGGCATCCAGACAAACTCACAAGCTCCCACACGATCTCACTCTCCAGGACCGGATGTGGGTCTTCTTTCCACCCGGTCCTGAGCCCTGGCCCCACACATCCTCTGGAGAGTCCCTGCCTGCTTGAGAAATCCTGTGCTGGAAAAGGGAAGCCACATATGTCTGTGGGTATAGAGTCGCCTGGCTCACATCCCTAAAGAGAATGTCTGTGAAACAGTGTTCCTCTGACTCCAGGAAGCCTCATACCCCAAAATGCCCTGGTTGAAGCTCACCTACTAGAGCATCCTGTAGCTTAGATCTTTGACTCCTGGTACGACACAAATATCTCCAAAGAAAGATAAGCGAGTACCCCTGGCAAGTCATGCACACTTTAGTATAAAGTAATCTTAGTCATTTGCTAAGAGCTTCGAGCACTGATATCCTGAGGAGAAGACAGGAGAGAATGGGGAAGAAAGAGCCTGCAATGGGTATTCGGAGGCCAGGGTGTGGGACTTTAAAAGCTAAGATCACTCTTCATCCATGGCCATAAACTGATTTGGTCTACATTGGTAAAAGCTGTGGACTTAGAGGACAGGATTCCAGTCTCCAGCTCTCCCACATATCAGCTGTGTAATGTTGGGTTAGCCACTTAACCTCTCTGAGCCTTCATTTCTTCATCTGAAAAGTAGGAGTGAGGCTACACCCACACCGGGGTGCTGTGAGAATTACACAGACTGGAGCATGTGGAAGGACTGTCCTTCCATATGAATTACTATCCTTGGGTCTGGGCCACCGCATTCCAGACATTGTGTAGCTCCAGAGCCATGTCTGTGGATGGATGTGGAGCTGAGTCAACCCGCGGAGCGCAGTGAGCCCAGCCAGGGCCCGCCAAACCCCGACCAGAACAGCGGACCCTGAGTGACCCACAAACACACGGAGTTCAGTAACAAGTAACTGTCATTAAGCCACTGAGTATTAGGGTGGTTTATCACCTGGCAATGGTTAGAACCATACACCACAGTTACGGCTCCTGACATTAAAAAATTTAGGGCCACATTCAACAGAAATGAATAAATCTGACACCTGTCTGCCTTCTTAGGTGAAATAAAGTGAACATAATTCAGTCTGACTCGGTCCTTCGTGCTCGCTGTAGTGCAAACCAGTCAATGTGCTGTACGTAAGTCGGAGATGCCCTTGGGGGGACGTACAGAACGGAGGCTCTGGAAAGAATTCCGATCCACTATCCTCTTAGATCGCAGAACTAGCCCTGGTTCTGTACCATTTTCCTGGTAATCTGTTTGACCAGCTGTCTTCTCTTAGCCAGCGGCCCCGTCCGCAGTCCGATGTGTTCCAGCTCAGTCACCACCCCTAGAACCCCGCTTTCTCAGCCCGTCAGGACCATGTCCCAAGCGCCAGTTCACAGGCTTGGAGGAGCAGCCTGCGCTGGTTTCTGTGTGTCGGATGCAGATGCTTTAGTGCTGGGCCCTTTCATGCTTTCTGCTCCCTCCGCGTCCTCTCAGGGGCCCGGCAGTGGGGGCTGCCAGGTAACGACCATCTGCTCCGGGTCACCGCGCTGTGTCCAGCCTTGCTGGGATCCAGTCTTTCCTGAAGAGAGTGAAGGAAGGGACCAGCCTGTGGGCCCGGAGAGCTCTTCCTCCGTCAGGGCAGCCTCGGGGGCAGTCTGTGTTTGGACAGCGCGCAGCGGGCACTTACCAGGGGCACGTGGGAGGAACGAAAAGATTTCCTGGCGGCGCTTCTGCTGTGCGCACAGCCTTGTCTTCTTCAAAAGAGTAAGAACCTACAAGCTTCTGGACACAGATGACTTCACATCAAATTGTTGGAAAATATTTTCAAAGGATACAGTTCTCCTGTGTTAAGGGACAGTTCCGGCTCCAGGGCGTGTGTTTATTTCTGAGCTGTGCTATCAGGGAGCCTGGCGACTAGAGGAAGGGGACAGGGCAGAGGGACTCCACACGACAAAGCAGATGGTCCATGCTCTGTTGAGCTGACACCTTGGTGACTCCCACCAGATCTACACCACTGTTTTAGCAAATGTCTAAAGACCACACGCCCAACCAGATCTGGGTTTAGCAATTCCAGAGGAAGTGCCTGTGGATGGGTGGACTGGCTCTTCTAAGTTCCCGCTCCTTCCCCCTTCACTCTGCCCCCACCCCGCCCAGGCCGACCCCCATGACTCCCGGCTTCGGGCTGGGTTTGGCCCATGGGAAGCACTGCCCATGGTGGTTGGGCTGGAGGAGAGAGCGGTTGGGTTATTTCTTCTGCACACTCTTTGCTTTGGGTCCCTCCGAGATCAGAGCACCTGCTCAGCGGCCCCTCCTCCAAGGTCCCAAATCTCCCGGGATCCACTTCCCCACTTTTCCCTCTTGTCTCCTCAAGCATAGGGGTGGTAATGGGTCCGAGGTGGCTAATTTCTCAACCTCTCTCCTTGTTTCCCTTAACCCCACCCGCACCTCAGAAATGATGCCTTCATTCAAGTCTTTTTTTGAACCATCTGAGTTGCTTCTTTTTCCTGCTGTTACACTGATTGCTACAGTCTGCACCAAGTCTCACCCAAGAGAGGTCTAAGCTATGCCAGGGCGCTCTCAAGGGCAAGGAGTTCAAAGAAAATCAGAGGTCCTTCTCTCTCTAGCTTTCAGAACCCATTAGCCATGTTGGCTGTATCGAAATTAAGTGATACAGGGAACTATATTCAACAGCTTTTAATAACCTATGATGGAAAAAAGAATATATATGTATGTATGAATAACCTAATCACTATGCTGTACCCCAGATTGTAAATCAACTGCACTGCAATAAAAATAAATTAATTAATTAAGTGATACAAAATGATGGGAAACTCCAATCTACAGAGAAGTTTTCAACCCTGCATTCACTCATCCATTCACCGAACATTTGGGGGGCACCGACCTTGTGCCAGGCACCGTTCTTTCCCTGGGAAAGCAGTGATAATGTCCAAGACAGACGCGGTCCCTGCCCACAGGGTGCTTACAGTCTAACGCCGAGTACCTCTGCGAAGTCAGGCTGCCCCCCGGGGCAGGGCTAGACCCAGACCCTGTTTCTCTCCATCCTGAGCCTTCAGCAGATTCTCAAAGGAATCCATGACCCAAAGTTAAGAGCCACCAAGTTAGACCAAATTAACTATCCGGCTTCCCCGTCAAATAGAGGAATCATGACCCACTCACTCCCAGAAGAAGCCTGAAGCTCTCAACTGGATTTGGGTGGCACCAGCCCCTACCTTCCCCGCCCCCTGTTCCCCACAAATTCCTTCCCCTCTTCCAGCTCCCCCTTTCCCTGCCCTTCTCCCTCAGGCCACAAGTGCGGGCAGGGCAACGTGTCAGGGGGCTGTTCTATGAATGGAGAGGGTTGGGGCCTGGGTTCACGGCTGTGCCCTCCCTCCCGGACAGCCTGAGCTTTTAGAAAAGGTGGCAAGAGTGAAATTCTGCCTCATTTACAGTATTTCTGAGATTCGTTTTTCTGGGGAGAGCCAGGGGTGACTGAGGCAAATTGAGGAGGGCGGTGAGGAGACAAGAGGCAAAGCCTGGGGTCTGCCTGCCTCCCTCAAGCCCTCAGGAAGCATCTGAGTCTCCTCAGAAAGGTTTAGACAGGCCAGGCTAGTAACCCAATACTTCCCCTGCCCGGGGTGGGACGGGACAAGGGCAGTTGCCCTGGAAGAGACTGCCAGGCGGGGCGGAAAGAGCCCCCTGCGCTGCCCCCAGCTCCAGGACTGACTCTGCTCAGCAGCCCCCTCCCCTCTCCCCAGCAAGCCCCCTTCTCCCTTCCCATCTGAGGCTGAAGCGAAGCCCACCCCAGGGAGAAAGCACAGCAGGGAGCAGAGGGGACCTGGTCCTGAGGCTGCAGCGGGGGGTGGGGGCGGTTGGTGCCATGCCCCAGGAGAACGTAGGGGACTGCTCGCTGCAGAGCATCCCTGTGAGCCGAGCCCCCAAGGGGTCAGGGCTGTATTTACAGAAACGTCTGGACTCACTGCCCTCTGACATGCATTCCCCTCTGTCTCCACTGCCCCCAGTTCCCAACCAAAATGCAACCAGGCAGCAAGTGGGGAGAAGACACAAGTCGGTAAAGGGTCTCTGGCTTTGATGAGCAGGAGGCTGCCCGGTGGCCGGCTCCCCCCGGCCTCCCTCCAGCAAGACTGGGAAGGGAAAAACATAAGGATGTGCTGGGAACAGTCCGCTCTCCTCCCCGCCCACCCAGACCGGCGGAACAGGGGGGGTCGTGGTCGTCCTTTACCTGCTGGAATGGGGAGCACGCTGTTGATGAAGGTGGGCTGAGACACGATGAGGCGGAAGAAAAGCTGAAGATAAATCCCCCGAGCCACCGGGCTCAGGACAACCATGCTGGCTGCTGCGGGCTGCAAAGTGTCAAGTTCTCCCGGCAGGGCTGCGAGGAGCCTCCCTTATCTCTGCCCCGTCTTCCTCAAGCTGTGTGCCTCCCTCTCTCCCCCCTCTTCCCTCCCTCCCTCCCCGCCTCCCTCCCCCATGCCTTTACCAAGAAAGAATGCCAACCATTTCCCACTAAACCTGCCCCGTACTACACAGGGTTATATTTATCTTAAGCACTGGACCAAATGCCCACATTAAAATTAAGATGTCCAATTTTTTTTGAGACTGAAGTGGCCATTGAAGAGGTGATAAAAAAAAAGGCAGCCAAATCTCAAATGTCCACCAGAAGCAGTCCTAGTGGGTTCTCCACCCGTGCCTACCCACTTCCAACCGAGGTGTTCAAATTCCCTGGATTCAAAGTGCATTTCCGTGGAGACAAATCCTTCTGCTGTCAGTCTGTGACACTTTTACCCACCAGGTGACAAATGTAAAGTTGCCCCCGGATTTTTTTTTCCTTTAATCATCCAGTAAAAAGCAAGGATGAGGGTGGAGAAGAGTTTCTATTTTTCAAAACATCTTTCTCCGAAAAAAAGTGGTTATTCTCTCTCCAGAAGCCGTAACCTTTTATCCCACATGCAAAGCAAAATAAATGGAAAGATTTAATGGATTGGAAAGTGATTATTGATCAAACTACATCTGGGAAATAACATCACTAACTTGACCTTTGGCTAGACGAAATTCTTCAAACAAAAAGATATTCTTTGGGAGGGTGTAGCTCAGTGGTAGAGCACGTGTTTAGCATGCACGAGGTCCTGGGTTCAATCCCCAGCATCTCCATTTAAAGAAACAAACAAAGACAAGGAAAACAAAACTTAAAAAAAAAAGATATTCTTAAATGAATGACTACCTCTTTTAAGCTTTTAAAGCCTGCTATGGAGATCCTTAGATTACTAAAATAATCAACATAATAATCCACAGAGTTGTCCATTTTGCTTTAATTTGTATAACATACACCCAGCACTCATGGGAGATAATTCAGAAACGAGGTGGTAGGCCTGGACTCAGGTCCAGCAGCTGATCCTCCTTCTTGGGGAAGGTGGGGCTGGGTGACAAAAGAGGATGAAGGGACACCCACAGGTCCAACACCAGAGGGGCTGCACTCCAGCTCTGTGGTGACCGTGACAAGATGTTCGATTTCTCCAAGCCTGTTTTCTCATACAATGGAGGCATTTCCCTTTAAAGGTTTGTCAGAAAGCTGCAATGAGGCAACATGTGATGAATCACACATGAATTGAAATCTGTGTACAGAGATGCAGAAATGAGACCCGGGAGCCATGGTACATGGCTGCAGAGGTGGCCCCCAACATCTCCCCAACCTGTGTGCGCGCCACCCTTCCCAGAGAGAAGGGGTCTGTGTTCCTTCCCGTCGAGTCTGGCTGGCCTTGTGACGAGCTTTGACCAACAGGATGCGGTGAGGAGACACTGTACCACTTCTAGACCTAGACCTTAACCAGCTGGCAGCTTCTGCTTTTGCCTTCTCTTGGAAACCAGTCTCCACGTGGGGAAAGCAGCCAGCCCTGGCTGTCTGGCCATCTCAGAGGAGGCCCTGCACATGAGAATGAGGCCACTTTGGATCACCCAGCCTCGTTCAGGTCTCCAGATGACAGCCACAGAAGTGAGCCCAGGTGACACCAGCTGAAGAACCGCCCAGATGAACCAGCCCAAATTGCAGATTCGTGCGCAAATTAGATGGCTGCTGTTTTTGCCTGCAGTGTCCTGAGGCCACTAGGTTTTAAGATGATTTGTTATGCAGCAACAGCTAACTGATACAGGATTTATAAGAAAAGCATGAAGAATACATGTGAGTTACATGCAAAATCAACAGGACAGCTTAGAGAGGGGATACCCCACATCACTGTTCCCAAAATGTTTAGCAGAAGGATCTGTGATGGTTGGCCAAGCCTAACCAGGAAATTCTCAGGCTTCTTCTTGTTAACTCTGGAAACCTCCAGTCCCAGCACTGGGCTCTGAGAAGCCTGGAGAAGGTGCAGTCTACGTAGGGGAAGGTGACCCTCGAGGAACTTGGTGTCAGAATCTAAACTTTCACTGTCCCTGAGAAACCAGAGGTATTTCTCCCTTCCTTCAGCACATGAACTCCATCACTGACCGTGCAGTTGGCACAGACAATGTCACTAAGTCCTGCCTGTGACACCTGCTGCTGTTGTTTTTGAGCTGCTTCTAAACCACCTTCTGTTGCTATTTAATCTGTGTTAATGTCCCTGAAGATGGGGGCATATCCCAGAGCTCTGTGCATCCCCACTGCCCCCAGGACCACCCTTGTCAACTAACAGATCCTCAACAATGTCGGTTAATTTGATCCAATCACACCTTTGTAGGATTGAAAGAAAAGAAAGTGGCAAAAGTGACATAACTTTATGCCCCAGCCATACAGAGCAACAGGCATTTCCCAGCAGCATTTGCACATGCAGCCAGCTGGCCAGGGCCTGGCACCAGGGAGGGCTGGGTGAGGGTGGTCCACGTGGACAGTGGCCTGTATGATGGAGGCTGAATGTACACATTCAGGCCTCTAGGGATTGAGTCATCACTGATGTAGAGTTACCACAGGAACCTCTCCCCTCTGGGGAGGCCCCAGCACACAGGTATTCATAAGCCCTCAATATTTATTAAACAGTTTCTTGTAAATTTCCATTTCCCATGGACCATGTATTTTATGAGCCTATTTCTTATGAGGTGACCCTAAATGACCGAGGCAGAAATTATCATCTCTCTTCAAACCCTCCTGGAAGAGCTCTAAATCTTTCAGAATCTAATAACACAGGCTATTAGATTTTTCCAGAAGGAAATTATTTGAGATCTGTGAAAGGCTTACACCGATAAAGACAAAGTTAGAGCCATCCCTCCCAGGCCTTGTAAGTGGAGGTGTATCCTGAAAAACAATCTGGGGTACCCAGTAGCACTGTGTCATTTTATGCAGAGAGTCCACAGAAATACTCACTTGACTGCCCAGAGGTTTACATGCAAGGATATTCATTATAGCCTTTGATCTGAAACAGCCTAACTTTCACTCCATTCAATGAAACATTATACAGTCATTACAAAGAATAAGGCAGTCACTGCAATGAATGATGCTGGAAAGTTAGTCTTACACGTGCAAAACAAGCAAAAATGAACCTTAACCCTTACACTGCCCCCTACATAGAAATTAGCTCAAAGTAGATCATAGGCCTAAATGTAAGAGCTTAAACTATTAAACTTCTAGAAGAAAACAGGAGAAAATCTTAATGACCTTGGGTTAGGCAAAATCATCTCTTTTGAAGACACATGTATCCCAGTGTTCACAGCAGCACTATTTACAATAGCCAAGATAGGAAAGCAACCTAAATGTACATAAACAGATGTCTGGATAAAGAAGATGTGATATATTTATACAATGGAATACTGCTCTGCTATGAAAAAGAATAAAATAATGCTGTTTGCAGCAGCATGATGGACCTGGAGATTATCATACTAAGCGAAGTAAATCAAAAAAAGAAAGACAAAAATCACAAGATATCACTTATATGTGGAATCTAAGAGACAAATGAACTTATTTACAGAAGAGAAACAGACTCACATAGAAAACAAACTTAAGGTTACCAAAGGGGAAAGGTGGGAAGAGATAAATTAGGAGTCTGGGATTTGCAGACACTAACTGCTATACATAAAACAGATAAACAACAAGGTCCTACTATATAGCCAAGGGAACTATATTCAATATCCTGTAAAAAACCATAATGGAAAAATCTGAGAAAGAATATATATATGAATATATATATATATATATATATATATATATGAATCACTTTGCTGTACACCAGAAATTAACACAACATTGTAAATCAACTCTACTTCAATAAAAAATAAAAATGTCTCTTCTTATATGAAAAAAATTTAATTAAAGTTATATATATTTAAGGTCTGCAACATGATTTTTTGATGTACATATACATTGTGAAATGATTACTGCAGTGAAGCTAATTAACATTTTCATTGCCTCACATGGTTATTTTTTTTCCAGTGAGAACACTTAAGAAGTATTCTCATAGAAAATTTCAAGTATACAACACAGTATTATCAACTACAGTCACCATGCTGTACATTAGCTCTCTAGAACTTATTCATCCTCTGTATCCAAAACTTTGTACACTTTGATCAACATCTCCCTATCCCCTTACCACTAGTAACCATCATTTTATTCTCTGCTTCTATGAAAAAAGATTTTTTAAATAGGGCACAAAAAGCAAACAGGAAGAGAATAAAATGTTTAACTGGACTCATCAAAATTTTAAAAAGTCTGCTCTTCGAAAGACAATGCTAAATTGAAAAGACAAGGCAAAGACTAGAAGAAAATACTTGCAAAACACATATATAAGGAGTTGCATTCAAAATATATAAAGAACTGCTACAACTCAATCATAATGAAACAACCCAATTAAAATAAACGGGCAAAAGGTGTGAATGGATGCTTTACCAAAGAAGATACATGAATGGCCAACAAGCACATGAAAACATACTCAATGTCATTAGTCATTAAGACAATGTAAATGAAGACTACAGTGAAATCCACGACATACTACTAGAATGGCTAAAATTAACAGGACTGACAATCTCAAGTGTCGGCGAGCATGTGGAGCAGCAGGAACTCTGAGATGTTGCCAGTGGGAATGCAAAGTGGTACATTCACTTTGGGAAACAGTTTGGCAGATTCTTATAAAGTTAAACATATGCTTACTATACCACCCACTCTGGTATTTCTCTGAGAGAAGTGAAACATATTTCCCCCGGAAGACTTGTCCATGAATGCTCATAACCACTTTATTTGTAATAACCCCAAACTAGAAACAATGCAAATGGCCATTATTGGGTGGAGCTAAACAAGCTGTGTGCAAGGCAGCAGCCATCCGCGGTCATGTGTCAGGAGCTGCAGAACAAGGGACACAGCTGAATCTCCAACACATCGTGCAAAGTGGAAGGAGCCAACACAGAACACTAATCCTGCACGATTGCGTGTGCATGGCGTTCTAGGGAAGAGAAAACTCCAGGGATGAAGACCAGAACAGTGGCTGCTGG